CTCGCGCGATACGCGATCTTTTGTTTTACAATTTTATTAAATTTAACGACAAAATTTTGATTTAATTATTTATTTTTATGTTTTTGTTATTTTATTAAACTATAGATATATTTACTATAGTTTTTTATCGATAAGTTTTCAATTGTTAAAATAATTGTGTAGAAATAACGGTACGACATAGTAATATTATCAATGCTTGCATAATCTTAATTTTTGACTTTTAGAAAAAATTTGAAATAATTTTTTTTTGTTTAAAAATATTTGATTCTAATATATATTTATCAAATATCATTGTGCAAAACTCCATTTTTACGTGATATGCTAAATAGATCATATATCTTTTTTTGTTGTATAAGTCATGAATAATGTGATCATTAACACAAAATGATACACCAACAAAATATATCACACAAACTCGGACATGGCACATTATTTATCACAGATTCAAAGACTTAATTGAGCAGAGATGCTTAAGATGCACACTTTTACACACGAGGAGTAATCCTCTATTCTTCAGTCAAGAGATGCTCATCGATCTCTTTGGAGACTTCGACGGCAAGTTGGAGAAGAGATTCAGGATGAGCCACCTCCTCGTTAATTTTCTCATACTCGAAGTGCCAGTGCACTATACTCCCAGACCCACCATGCTTAGGGGTCACTTGGAGCGTGACCAAAAAGCTCGTGTACTCTTTCATTAGATCACCTTCTATAACCCTTAACATGATCAAGTTTTTCTCCGGCTCCACCGCCTCGATCCTCTCCTTCGCCACCTTAGCTTCTCCATCTACACGGATTGTTTCGAATTTTATTTATACATATTTGGGTCTGAGTTTGAATACAGCTTGAATATTATTTCAAACACATAAGGCGACATATATATATATATAATAATGTTGACTTACCAAGAACATACTTTGTTAATTAGGAGATCTCGGAAGATACGAGATCGACTTGAAGTTATGATCTCTTCTGTAATTAGTTAATATTATATTGAATAATTTGGCAATTTACCTAAAATGTAACTAGATCTAATATTTTGTATATAAAGCAAAGCATTAACACTTTTATCAATGAGATAAACTATCATATTTCTAGGATTTTCTTCAAATCTATCATCATAGTTTCAAAAGATGATATATATATGGCGTTTTAAAAAATTAGTTTGGATTTCCGTCTATGATCCAATAGATTTTTGACCCGCGATAAACCCGGGACTAAAATATTTGAAAATAAAAAATCATAATTTTTTTTATAATATTATAAACAACAAATATCAAATGATATCTCTCATATACATAAATAAATTTTATCTTAAAAAATTTAATATGCATGACACTTAGATTGAATGTAAGCGTTTATAATGTAAATCGAATACATTTGAGATTATGGGTTATTTCAAAGTTATTTGATCTCACTAATCCCAAAAAATATCGCGTTATTAGGTAAATTTTCTTAAATAAGAAATAATAAAATGTGAAAATGATGATTTTCAAAAAAATGATATTAATGTTTGAGTTGTAAAGTTTTACGCGTAACTTTAATTAGAGTAATATGAATACAATCAAACAATATAAAAAAATAATTGTATGATCAATCACATATGGTATCCAAATTGATATAAATACTGTTTTTATAAAGTAATTGACACTGGTTAATGATTCATCATTAAACCAGTTTGGTATATAACATTTAAAATATTGAAATATTATATTTTAGTTAGATTTAAATTAGTATTTAGTAACATATGTATTCGTGGATTCATGTTAAAAAAAAATTAATGTAAATATGTAAAGATTTCTAACATGACATATATAATTAATTGGAATGTTTTAATTGGTTAATTTAATTAATGTTCTTTAAAATCTTCATTGAATGACAGATAAAAAAATTTTCACTTAGTGTCTCCTCAGTTATATATACAGAGGATTGGTTATAGATATATATCTCGTTGACTTACCAAGAACATAGTTCCAAAAGATAATAGAACCGACTTTGCCCCAGTCACCTTCATGAAGCTCACATCCTTGAATGTTGCCTGGAGTTGCTTTGGAGACATGGTGTGGTTTTCCGGCGAACATGTGATGGAATTTTCCAGCCGAAGCTTTGATCTCCACTTCTGTCTCAAGCGTCCCGACCAAATTAGGCGCGTCTGTCATTTTTTTTGCTTACTTTGAGAAAATAAAAACGTTTAGGAGGGTTTTGGGAGAGGATTGACTTCCCTTCAATCTGAGTTGTTTAGCCTCTATTTGTAGAGGAATGAGTAAGCAAACGTTGAAATATAAAACCATTTTTACATTAAAATAATATCACGATTAGTTTTGTGACCCCAATATGTGATCATGGATTCGCGACCCGATCATAAGAATATTTTAAGTTTTTGCATTATCATTGCTTTCGAAAATGTATAAAGACTTTCTGGATAATTCAGTAGAGCAAGATATTTTCAAGA